GAGGTAAGTTGGGTTTTGTTCCCTTACAGTAAAAATCGAAACTTTGAATCACTTTCTACGAGAATTTTTGTATCTCTCTCTCTGTATATTTGATCAAATTCTATATGAAACGGTTCTAGGGTTTTAACCTCATTCGCTGTTTCATTCCATAGGAAATGAAAAGTCTTTGTGGAAGAGAATCAATGTCCTCTGCAATCAGCAATGGAAACGAAGAAGACGTATCGAACAACGTATTTGGATGCAACATCTGTCTTGAATTACCAAAAGAACCGATCGTGACTCTATGTGGTCATTTGTTTTGTTGGCCTTGTCTTTACAAGTGGATTCATTTCCATTCTCAATCGAATCATTGTCCTGTTTGTAAATCTTTGGTTAAGGAAGATAGTTTGGTTCCTTTGTATGGAATGGGTAAACCATGTTCAGATCCAAGAACGAGGAAGCCTGTTCATGGTGTTACGGTCCCTAATCGACCATCTGCAACTAGGGTTGAAACAGTGGCTCCTTGTCCTTCTCCTCGTCATGGACAAAGACAGCATCGGTCTAGTTTCTATGGTGGGTATTCAGGTTTTGCTTCGATTCCAAGTGGTTCAAGGTTTGGGAACATTTTATTGTAAAAGGAATGATCTTTGACGAATTCTCGATCATGCAATGTCTTGAGCTACATTTTCTGCAAATTTTGATGGTTTTTTTTTTGTTTTCTACAATGTTTTGAGCCACTTTTTTCATTTTTGTTCTTATTAAATTTTGCAACATGAGATAATTTGATACTTTAGTCTTTCGGCTTTGCGAGTTGTTATCAGCTTCTTCTGATGTTATACAATTGCCAGATTGATCTACATGAATGCTGATTACATTACAGTAGAACTAGAGAAACTTTATTCTTTGTTGTGTTCCCTCATTTTATGATTTATCTTAAATATGAATACTTTATATATCTTATCGATTTATCTATCCCTCGCTTTTTCAGAAGTTGGTACTAGCCCTGGTTCAGGTTGATCAATTAATCAAGCATGGTTAGATATTAATTCAGGAAAAAGTTGGTTCTTGTGGTTTAGGTGACTTATGTGTTCAAGTGAAGCTTTGCTTGTTTAGAGACTAATGGTGTTATTGTTAGTACTTAGTAGATTGTTCTGACCTGTTTTGGAACTAGTTTGATCTGATGTCACCTGGTTATATTATGTACTTGCTATTTAGAGACATGTCTCTATGTGTCCGGAAAGTCGCTATCAAAGACACAATCAAATCAACGATCGGATGTGTAGTCATTTGCGCATTTCCAGTATTCTACATACAAATTTTTAACTTACAGAGGAAAGTGCTCGAGACATCCAATCCAATTTTGATTGAGAAGCTAAGGAACATAACACTTGTCATGTCCATATATATATATACACATGAGTAAAATTGAACCGAAATTGACTAAACCGGATATA